GAATATGAGGTAACCATTTGTATGTAAATATACAACCTGATGTCGTGAAAGCGGTTTCTTTCTACAATGCTTCAGAAGCTTGCCGTTGTTAAACTCGGACGTGATACGGAATTTTGAAGACATCCACAGAACACAGGCAGGAAAAGGGATAGAATACAATTCAAACGTTCTAAGAATATGCAATCTTTTTGGAATACCCAAAAATGCATGGATTCCTTTCCTTTTCAGTTTTTGGGTCACACTGGCTGGCTATAACGTGGTCGTGTCACCAAGCAGCGTGATACGTGTCTTTCTCTTAACCAGCTTTTTTTTTTGTAAAACTTCTATAAGACGTTATTTACTGTTCACTTTCGGATGAGGTAAAAACTTAAAGGAAATTTAGGGCAAGAAAGGACGTCAACAAAAAAGCAATAAAACCGTGAGTAGAGTGCCAAAATATTTATTTTTATTTCATTTTAAAATGGAAATAAAAGTTTATTATTATTTTATATGACCTATCTTCACGCCCACCGTGCGAATCCCAGCAATTCTCACATTCGATTGGTTTGCACGCATCCAGTGTCCACGAAAATCTTCCAAATTTTACGTGTGGCCTCCCTTGCTGCTTGAGGATTTCCACTGCATCTTGAATTTCGTAGAATGCCGGTCGAGAAATTCTCCCTGTACCCCTGAGATATAGTTTGACAGGAAAGTCTGTAAATGGGTTGCAGAGAGTGATTTGTCCCAAACAACTCCGATACCAATTGAGTGTCGAAATAAAATCAAAAGTAGTCATAAATCTGCATTTCGTGCGTGTATACCTTGCAAAATTTCTCTGCAGGAATGGTGCCCCTTCAGATCAAAAAGAGACTTTACAAAGAAAAAAGGACGAAACACGTCAGGGCTACAGCTCTTTCACCTGGCTTCGCACATTTAGTCAACAGGAACAAACGAGTATGTGGAGAAATGGTTCAGGAAAACTGAAAAATAAACCAGATATAGCATGCAAGCTGTGAGCCTTATCAATTTGTAGCCGAACAAAACAGGTTAAACGTTGTAAAGACAACGCACAGCAATGATTGCTAACCGAAACTGTCTGTCATTCATTCATTCATTCATTCATTCATTCATTCATTCATTCTTCGACAACCGTACTAGTCGTTCCCGTCGCGCATTTCGCGTCCGTCGGCGGTTGTCTCCGTAATTCTCATTTTCTCTGAATAAAAAAATTTCGCTAAGCCAATTTCACGTCGTTTTTCTACTGAAGGTAATGGCCCACGTAACTTCACATGAATCTGAGTTGACTGCATTCGTAACACTCGTAATTATGGTACTATGTCCTGTTGGGGGAATGGCATGAGGCAATTTCTTCCTACTTAATCGTAGTGGAGGGCATTATCGAGAACCTTTTCAGAATTTCTGAAAAAAAAACATAAGCCAGGAATTTAATAACATTGTGCTTCATTCATCGAAAAATCGATTTTGCAATATCCTATCGTGTACTTTCTATTGGGTCTCGCTCTTCATTTTCTCATTCATTTACAGCTGTTTTTCTGTAGCAATTATTGATCGGAATTTTTGGGTATTCAAACTACTTACAGTAGTTGTTGATGCCAGTAGCAGTGGATCACATCATTGTATCCTTGAAGCAAATCTTTTAAGCTCATCCCTATTAAAAAATCAGGAAAGCTTCTCAGTTCATAAGCCAGTATTGCTCACATGGACTGCGTGATTAATTTCTGTCTTCGTTTGAGATGCTCGAATTCATTTCAGAGTAGCTCCTTGCCTCGCAGAGAACTCAATTGCTTAGTGAAAAAAGCCACCGTGAGTCAACGAAAAAACATTCGGAAGGGTAGATCCTCCGATGATTGTAGGTACTAAAAATGACTAGTCATAGAGCTAACTCTTGTGAGAAACTTGAACTGTGACGCTCCTATCGACGGCGATAGACTAAACTGAACTGGTTCAAGTCATTGCGGTATCGTTATCATTGTCATACTTCGTCGATCAGTCTCTTAGTTCTTACTGTATTATTACTGCAAGATTCAACATAAATGTAATATTTCTCGAATTTTTTTATTCCCTAATATCACATGTCTGGGAGAGCTGAAGATCAGCCTGTCCAGTCCACCTGATTACTAGTTTTTCAAAATATAAAGTTGTTACCGTTTTCTTTTGTTCTCCTCCGACTATAACTATCATTGTTATTTAGATATGGAAGAATGTAACCTAAAGACGATGCTACTGCCTCTTATTTGAATATGTAACTCTGCTGACATCATGACTTGTCAGTCGAAGAGTATCTCCTCCTTGGCAAAGTCACCTAAGTTAACACAACGCCCGTGCGGTTTTTAATGTCTATGACGCTTTAGACGACACCTAATTTTCCGCCTTTATAGACTCACCGGTTTCCTTTTCACCATGAATGATAATTTCTCGATAACTAGAGCGCTACAAAGGTTGCGAACATGAAAATGTTGTAGGAGAAGCTTCGCTCTATCGTTCTATAGGTATGGATGGAATGTATTCCCGTATGTTACTAAAGTCCATCACAGAAATCCGTTATTGTCAGTATTTGGGAATGTTTTGCAACTTATTTTGTGTCCACTTCCGTATATTTATAGCCGCATATTCCATTCGGTAAATACGACTCATTACTATGATTACAACTGAAGCGAAGACCAATTACTGTCAAATCATCCTTTCGAGAAGAAAATTTTCGTATAATTCTAAGTGCAGGATAAAGCTTCCGTTGGCCAACGTACAGCTCACAATCTGTGTTGGATAAGCTATCGAATAATTGCAAGAAATTCAAGAAAACGACTCCTCATTTTAAATGAACTGCCAGAAAAAGAATGAGTCACGTACAGCTGGTGAAGGCCACTCGGGGTCCAACGATTGAATGCAATCGTCTGTTGCCTTCTACGTTGCTCATACTTTGAGGGCGCTAGAAGACTTTTTTAAATTAAATTTGTATGGAAGTTCTTCTTTCTGCAATATCTCGGGGTGCTTCTACTCTGAGCAGGCTCCAGTTTCAACCGTACATTTGACACTGTTCAATTTTTTGCCATTCTCTATTTTAACGTTACACTATCTTTCACTAATTTTCTCATAGTAAAAATTTTGCTACTATGTTGAGTATACCGATTTTTTTTAGAAGACGTGTTGGTAGAAGCTTCTATTTTTATAGCTATAAACATACGTAGAAATCTTGTGTAGGAGGGATTTGCACTCTACACTATGGCTTGCACTCACGTGTATAGTGCCAAAATTTTCCAATCTATAATCGATAGCCTTTAGAAAATATTGATTGTAAATACACTACCCGACTTAGTAAGCTGCACATACGAAATGTGTGATCTGCAATTCAATGTTCGATCGATCACGCACTGCTACTCTTAATTGGCCATAAACCGTTACTGGAACCTGATAGAACCATCCTGTGTAGTTCTGTATTTTCAAAGAAAAAAAAAGATTGGTATCTGGCAGATTACATCTCAAGTACAAGGACAACTCATGTACTAAAATTTGTTCAAGTCACGAATTTCCGACATCATTTTACTACACACTCGCAGCATACATACTACTTGAGATATTTGGACGGCCAGCCCTCACTGATGGTGGGGGCCCTATCATAATCTCCGTTTTTCGGAGTTTTGCTTGCTTAGCCATTGTTTCCCTGGAGTCCTTAAGTCAACCTAACCAAAGTCTATCCCAGGTCGTCACCACCACAGGCAGCCGCCGCACTTGTGGATTATAGGGTTATTTGCCACAATGAAACTAGTTTGATACCAGAACAGTGGTGGATCCTAGTACTGGTTTAATCTTAGCTAGGCTTCATGATAAAAAAGCCGGATTCCTTCACTCCATTTCAACTTGGGAGGCACTACTGTAGTGATCAATCTCCTAGCTGTACATCACAACCCGACACTCAGGAATACCTCCCGGCCGCTATGAGGTGGTAAGCCTGTGGGGAGCTCGCAGCATAAGAACAAGACCAATAAAAATTAAAAAATTGTAATATATAATATGACAATGAAAACCAAAATATCCACAGAGATCAATTCTGTCAACCTTTTCATTTTCACACAGATCGTTGTTTATGCGTAGAGAAGGCACTTTTGAAATTAGCGGAAGATGTGAAACTTGATCAATTCAATAGTTTTGCCTGAATTCACTTCGAGACAATGAAAGAATACATACATTCAAAAGTTGTAACCCAAGCGAAAATAATTTCTGTACTAAAATAATGAGCTGTTAAAGATGTCCTACAACCGTCTCCTCTTGTCAATCACTCTTCTTCTGAGTATGTAGAGATTACTGAGCATTTTTCAGTAAATGGTATTGGACGATGTCGTCCTATTGCAGGACGGCAGATACGAACAAAAAATTCAGGTTGATCGACGACGTCTTGAGGCAATGATTACGGGTGAATGGTTTGAATTCAGGAGCTAAGAAACTTTCTAGAATCATATCATAATTGATTCCAGGTGTTCCAATTGGTGATGCATCGTTCATGTTTGTAAATGCCGAAGATTTCTTCAGTAAGGTTCGATTTTCATTCATAATTATCGTCATGATATTGGTATAAAGTGTCTTGTGAAACCACTTAATGTCAGAAGAAAAAATATTGGAATCGAAAAAGTGTGGGTTTTCTTAAACATCTACATTCAAAAATTCTAACTACAAACGTTATGCACAACTATTTCAACAGCGAATGTCTCATCCATGTGGACCATTATGGTTGAGATCAATCAACTCAGTAGCTAAAAAGTCATTGACTATTTAGTCTTCGAAACGTGTATGTTCTTAATTTCTAAAACGACTGCATTTCTAACCCTTTGGTTAACGACTTAAAGATAACGAATTCAGTTTTTTTTACAGGTTAAACAATACTCGGGTGCTGATGTTTGCTGGCCAGCACAGCTAAAAATCGGGGCTAAAACTAAAAAAGGTGAACCTATACATCAGTTTATAATGTCATATCTTTAAGACTTTAAAATGTCCACAAACAATTGAGGCGACCTCTACTATCGATTAAATCCTATTTTTTTTTAAAAAATCGATTGTCAACAGATCCCTTCGTGAAAGTTATTGGAACGATGAGTGAAATCGAACGCGCAAAAAACTACATTAGTGCCACATTGCGAGTTAAGGTATGTCTTCAGTTTATCGCTTATCTGGTTTCTTGCTCATATTCTTCAATAATATTTTGCACTTAAATTTTTTGGAAAATTATTACTTATTTGGCTACTTGGGTGGCTCATCAGTGTTTCGGACAGATGTACTTGACTAGCAAAGAAACATTAACATGATTCAAGCATCTTGGGCTGGCTGACGTGAGCCATATATGACTCAAAGGTCTTCCTGCAAAATGGTGAGGACAAACCATATGTGACTCATTTTTTATGACTGTTTATTTTGCCACACAAAAATTTTTTGTTGTACTCGTTGCACTTTCCTTCATCTAGCTTGAAAAAGCACCATTCTGCATTTATAAATGCATAAACGACCAACCTTACAGTCCTACAAACCAACCTATAATTCTAAAAATTAACATTTCCTATGGATTATACGTTCATAAAAGCCTCCACTCCTTGCAATAAACAATTTCACGCAAGAGAAATACGACCATTGCGAAGTTTCGTTTACACGCAGTTTTAAGACCTATAACTTCTACAAATTACACCTTCTGTGGCTACTGCTGAGACAATGTAAGCAAGAATATTTTTCATAGCCTGCGACTAGTTTTCACCTAGCTGTTAGCATGGATTTCAGCAGATCTAGTGTCATCTAGATAGTAATTTACAACACCCAATACAAACTCTTCTTTCGTTTGATTCTTGAGCGACGTCTTCCAGGACTTGGCTGCTAGAGTGTAACGCTACAACGCTTGGAATTATTTAATTCAAAATAATTTTCAGCCTAAACTCATGCATATCCACTTTCTGCATATGTTCGTAGTATATCTATGCATGTCTGAGTGCGACCAGACGGAGTAGCATACGAATATTCTTAAACTATGAAGAAAAATTTCGTATAACTAGAGCGTAGAGGTGACACAATGTGTGTCGTATTTGTTAATTTATCTAATACAAAAAGCATAGACGGGCATCCCCTGGCTTGTGTCTACGTGAAATTTCCCTGATTATAACTTTCGATGACTTCCGGATTTTAAAGAGTTGACGGAAAAGGACGCGTCACACAGGGTCTACATCATAATATCCTTCTATAAACACGTAATATTGTAGAAGTTTGGCTTTTTGATGGTTGTATTAACTAACGCCAACGCATCACAGCTGCTGAAGGATGACAACATAGCATAATCCATAGAAAATATTTTCTACAATTGTCGGTTCCCATGACTGCTGACGTGGTCCACGTTTATCCAATTCAATTTCTAAACAGTAATTAATTCTTACTTCATTTACTATCGCTATAACGGTTCATCTTCTGGATCTACACATATAGAACATTTAAAGAAATGCCTAAATATGGTTTTCATATCTTATAAAAGTTCACCATGTGCGGATAGCAACGCGCTTGGATGGTGGACAACTTTCTTCACTTGGCACAAGTACTGTATATGCTCCAGAAACATAGAGATATGCATAGAGAAAATTTAGGATAGATTAGAGATAGAGAAAGACAGAGATTGTCAATAAAGAACACATGACCTAGCTATGGACGGAAAAGTAGAGCAAAAACTCAAGGCCATTTGCTGGTAAGGAGAAACTTTAACCGAGGTGGATTACACATGACTCATTGAGAGAGAGGCCGAAGATTAGGTTCCTTCCCATTGGCAGCATTATAAAAGTAGGCGCCTTTGCAACATGTTAAAACGAGAACTAGCACTTACATCTTTTGACAAGAATATATCTAATTATTATTGAAAACACTAACATTGGTTTATTTTTTTAATTTATTTTCAGAAAGATCGTGTAACACTGAAAATGGACATCCATCACTCAATCCACTCGCACATCATTGGAAAAGCAGGACGGGGTATCCAACAAGTGATGCGCGCTACCGGCTGTCATATACATTTTCCTGACTCGAATAAGTACACGTAAGAGACATGACTACATTTTTTGGCAAATAATTATCATACTGTTAAATTGAAAGGTAATTTTAACTCTTTTTATCAGCGTGGATTTCTTCCTTCTACTTCATTGTCTCTTCTTTTTATATTTTGTGCGATAACAAAAGAGCTCGTAAGCATTCTAATACACTTTTGACCATTTCTCATTCTTTTACCTATGAATTGGTAATCTAATCTAAACTATTCATTTGTAACGCAGTGGTTAAAGGTGCCCTGGAATACACAAGTTATCGTTAGTTTGGTCCTGCGCTCCGACCTATACTACCCTTCCACCGCTCCGGGTTAGGCAAATTGGTGCCAGACCTGTCTGGGAGGATAGCAGCACAGACTCGACACTATGGTAGGCCTGTAACGAAATGGTTAGCCGCGAAGTGTAGCGGTTCAGATTGATGTAGAATATTAGCCACGCGGGTCTTTTAGTCGTTGTGGTTGATCTACCAGCCTCACACTTGGGTAATTAAACCTTTAATACATAAATACAACACTAATTACATAATAGTAACGATAGAGAAGTAATGGTAGAGGAATGAGACAAGTTAGAGCTCTGAGGTGATAAGGCCTGTAGTGAAGTGAAGCTAACAATGAGGCAATGGCATTCAAATATTATTATACCATTAATACAATATTAACAATAATAATGAGAATACAACGAAGTAGCCTTTGCTTAGCCGTAAGCGATGCCGCGCCGCACCGCGTCTATCCGCGGCCGGTGCGGCGGCTGAGGGAGACAGTATGCTGGGGGCGGAGGGAGGAGACTGTATGTCGCGGAGAGGGAGACAGTATGCTAAGGTGGTGAGGGTTACAGACTGGCCGTGTTTCGGCCAAGCTAAGATTTCAACATTACAGCGATGAGGAGCATTTTAGTGGATCGATGAGGACTGTAAGTTATATGAGCGTTGACGGTGCTATGAACAGTGAATGATGAGTCATCTACAGAACACAGTCAGGCGCGGCTGGTCGTGAATAACGCTATGTCAGCAACGTGAACTTTGAGCATCGATGGGTGCCACCATTGCCTAAGGGTAAGGGCCAGTATGATAAATGGCTACAAAACTGATAAGCCTATAGCGGCTTAGCAGAATGCATAGCATAAGTTGGCCGCTTAGCGGCATTGTACACATTGCATGTACATTGTGGGAGGAATGGTACATGCCACCGATGGCGTTGCAAACAGAACGCATTTGGAAACATCCGCCACTACTGACATCGCACCGTAGACAAGCTGAGAAACGAGATACAATAATCTGCTGATTACTGAAGGATGAACGTGAATGTGTGAATGAATGTGATTGAATAAAAATAAATGAGTATGACTAAAAATGAGAGGTGATTGAGGATGATGTTGTGAGACGCGGATTATCCGCGCTACCGATCGGGGGTAAGGTGAGTGATGGCATGTCTCCGCCGTCGAAGGCACCTGGCTTATATCGGCTGCGGGAGCCGCGAGCGTATGCAACCGCGGTTAATCTGGATTGTTGATCCTGGACCACAATAGACTGTACCTAACTGCCTGAAA